ACACAAATAAATAAATGTAACAAAGTTTAACCCTAAAAGAGACATCATGCTTTCCAAGTCTCTATTTGAGATTTTATTTCTTGACATTCCGGTATACTATTTTTATTATCTAAATTATTTACATACATTAATCAAATTATTTCCAAAACTTCAATATCTGAAGGCTTTATTAGATTTCCTGGCTTTCCCCAATCTCTTTATGCTTTTTTGTAAAATTAATATGCACCTAGAGAAAATAATAATGGTACACACCGCCAATAGGAAACTTGACAAGGAATTCATGAAAGAATCTCTCAGCTAAAAGGAAAGGCTCAGACTTTCATTTGTAGACTTTGTTTTTGTGGATTGGCAGAAGAAATGTAGACTGTAGCCTTAAGACCTCTGTCTGTACACAAAAGCTACACAGGAACTACTGGCAGCTACAGGTTGCTGGAAAAGGGAAAATCAGGTTTTCTTTGGTGGTGCATCCTTTGACAGGTTGACTATGTTCCAGTGGATCGGTTCACATGCATATATATTTGGGTCATTCTAGTTTTGACTCAGGAGGTTGGGCTCTGGTAGGAGGTGGAAAAGAGGATCGAAATACCCTGTATACATATATGAAACTTTCAAAGAATTATTTTAAAAATTTGAAAGCTACATTGCAAGATGGGTGGTTAAAATAAAAGCCTTCTCAAACGCTAGGAAGGCTCTGAAACTTGACTTCAATCAGTCATCTAAGAAGGCATCACTGCGGGTTATAAAGAAAGCAGATAAATCATGGTAATAGTGAAAGCCATTTTTGCAGTTGTTTTAAAATGTGAAAAAACAAATCAAAAACCTCAGAGGTTCAGAAATTCTGCATAATAAAACCAATGCTTAAAAAGCTCTTCTCTTCCTGTTATAACCTACACTAAAGTCTTTAATTTAAAAATGTGTAGAAATGTGTAAAAAATTTAGAAAGCTCAGAAGAAAGTAACAAATAGATCTCATCCTATTCACTTCTCCAAAATCTATTCAGATCAAAATTTTAAAAAGTGTAATAAAAATATCTGTAATTAATGCCAAGAATAAAACTAAGACATGGAATAATAAATCCCAAAAGAAACGATATACAAGATAAACAAAGTAAGGGAACATAGTAGGACAAAAAAAAATGTCAGGCATAGGATGCTGTGAAGAAAGGAGCAGCAGTTTTACAAAAGAGGTAAGATAGAACTGGTTAAAGCGATTCTAACTAAAAGGATAGACAGACCTGGTAATAGGGATTCTAACTAAAGGGATAGACAGATCTAGTAAAAGAAATTCTAACTAAAGGGAGAAGCAGACCTGAAAAAAGGAATTCTTACTAAAAGAAGGTACAGCTGAAAACCTAGAAGGCACTGGGTCCCACAATCAGAACCATATGCCAATGGAACATTGTACAGCGGTAAAAGGAATCACCTATCCCAGGAAAACATCTTAAAGTGACTGTACTATGCCTTGCTCCCCCAAGACATTTATTTATATTTAGATTTCCTTATTATTTATAACAGCAGGTCCAAGAAAAAAATAAAAATGTAAATAAGAAAAATATAATTTTAAGTCCAAATAGAAATATCATGAAGAATCCTGCAAATAATAAACAAAACTTTCTGTTATAGGAAAGTACACAAGAAACACTGAATCATGAATAATAGAAACTCTAACATGAAAAGTTTAATGACAAAGAATGCCACAGATCAGAAATAAAGACATGAATAAATACAAACAGAAATGAAAATAATCGAAAATTCTGAAGCACTATGCACAGGAACTCAGGATATAGTGGATAATTTAAGAAAGAAGTAAGCAAAGGTGGAAAAAGAAGTCATTTCTATTTGTCAACCATCCAGCATTTGCATCTGACAACAGTCTAGAAACAACACCAAGATGTGGTCAGGGGAGGGAGGAAAAACGGGAGAAAGAGAGAGGAGACAAAATAATCGAAACTAAAAAAAAATGCATACCAAGGTAAAACAATGGGGAAAAATTGATAAAAACTTGAACAAAACCTTTCACTTGGTAAATACCATAATAAATGACGATAAATGGTAACATAGAGAAAATACTATAAATCTATCTATGGTAAGGACCAATGTCTCAACCGTGTAAAAAAAGGCAAAGGGAAAGGAAATATAAAACATACTCCTATAATTCAGGATATAAGAGGGAGAGGCAAATTGTTGGCAAATTCTGGGCCAGTCTGAGCTACAAAGAAAGATCTCGTCAAAACAAACAAAAGGGAAAAGAATCAATAACTGAACAATAATATTAAACATATTAATATTGAAAGCACAATTGGTTAATAGTGTCCATGAAGATGAAAACCTACATTGCATCCATACTATGTGTTTCAGAAGCAGCCTCTCCAATAATAAGGGAAGACTTCTGAGAGAATCTAAGAAGAATCTTTCTAGGTTTATTCCTTGACAAGTCCCACCAGCAATAACATTCCATAGTAAGTTGTATTACTAAATGCAACTCTCTAATAATTTCTTATTACAATGTTTTATTCCAGGGTAGAGGATAATAATGTTCAAGATAAGCCAAAATTTCAAAATTTAATAGTCATGTGTCATATTAAAAACACAAGACCACACAACATGACTATCATTCACAGTTCTAAAACAAACTACATTTTTAAATAATTGACTTCATAATACTTGAAAACTAAAATAAAACTCACCTAACCTCATTTAAATTTCCAAATTATATCTTTTATTCTCTCACATACATTTTACTTTGCCTTTTCAACAGACTCATTTCTTCGGCAGTAAAACAGTACTCACTGACAGACAAATAGGGGAGTAGCATATGTAGGGTGATCAGACCAAAGGAAACTATTTCCTTAAATCACCGTTTTTGTAATCTCAAGTGAAATGGAGAAATAATGTAGTAAGGAAAGATAGGCAAAAAAAGGACACATATATGACAAAGACTATCAATCACAGCTATTTTGCTATTGCTCTACAATCTCTTGTCATCAGAACAAATTTAGATCGGAGAATTCGAGACCCACATTAATGCTTTGTTTATCTCAGTTTATTGTGTGTAAGGTAGAATGAAAATGACGAGGAAGCTAGAGGGCAGTAAGTTGGCAAATACTGTTGCTATGGTTCCTACCCTGACTCCCTCAGTGATGGACTGTGAACTGGGTGGTATAAAAATATACAACGCTTCATAAGCCAAAACCATAAAAAGCAACTATGAATAATTCACAAAAGAAATGCTTGCTTCTTATAATAAGAGACATCTTCTAAAATCAAAAAGGCATAGTCTGAAAGGTGACAGGGAGGTTTAAAGACGTATTTGCTGAAATGGATAAACTAAGAAAGAATTAAAGAAAACAGGAATGAACATGCAGAAATGAAGAGGATGTGTTTTTAGAAAAAGGAAGGTGAATTAGTAAAAAAAAAAAAATGAGCAAATTAACAACATAATTCATGAATTAAATGACCATCAGAGGAAGGAGATGATTCACTGCTCGACCAGTGGTGCTGTCAAATCACACATCTAGAAAGACCAATTCTGAACATCTAGATACAGAATTAAGAAAAGAACTGAAGGATGAGGGAACAAAGACAGGAAAAGTGAAAGACTCAATCTGAAGAAGAATATGACGAAGTGAAGCACACTTTCCAAGCAGATGAGAGGAAACTGCAGATGAGGACAAGGACAAATGGAAAAATCATAGCCCTAAAAATGTAAAAACTCAGTCTGACAACAGAGAAAAGACAAAAAAAGAAAAGAGAGGAGTCTAAAAAAGTCATCTGCTAAAACAAGGAGAAGCATGGTACTGGATAAACCCAGATGTTTAAATCTATTTCGTATACTACAACTGGAAATCCATTTTTAATTAAAGCCCAAAATGGAAAAAGGATGATTAACAGAGGAGCAACAGGAATACAAGCTAGAATAGAAAAACAAAAATGGACAAGTAAGACAAGAAGTGGGAAGAGGAAAAAAAATAAAACCACTGGAATGAGCAGAAAATATGAAAAATTAATTAAATTAAAATGCAGTGGTTTTATTCAAACTAAAAACCCTAAAAAGCAAGTTTGGGGGAAAAAAAGCCCTGAATAATACAGAAAAGAACAAGCAAAAAGACTGCAATTGACCTTGAAATCTATGAGACACAGAAAAGTTCCATAAGGCAAATGGATCTGAAACTTGGAAAGAAGAAACGAAGCTCTATTTACTCACAATGTAAGCATGAAAATCACATCTGAACAAATAACTAAAGAAAGAGAAGCACAAGAAGAACTGAAGAATAGAATCATCACTTAGTTTGAGCTAACAGACACTGAAGTAGTGCCACAGAGATTGAGGAGGAAAGGGAAGTAGCATTATGATTGTCTTCACTATGAAAGATGAAAAGCAAACCAAATCAGGAGCTTAGTGCTTCAAAAAAACTGGACAAATAATAACAGATAAACAAAATCACATCAACTGTAAAAGTACAACACTTACATTTAAAGTAACAGGAGAGCAAGAGTCAGACACTCCAAGGTGATTTGAATGAGAAATACTGCAGGATGGAGAATATTGCCAGTTGATTTGACAGAGAAGCTTACGGGTATCATTTGTCAGGAGAAGGAGGAAAGTGTGAATTAACAAAAGTAATGCTGCTATAGCTTGTTAGTACCTCTATTCTCACTGTAGAAAGCTGAGAACCAATGGACACTTGACCTTTCAGTCTAAAATGTTTGCTCCCTGGAGTGGGAGAAATCGTTTTTCTTTTCATTTTTTTTTAAGAAGACACCAGATGGGTTTCCTTCCCCTCACCTTGTACTTACTTTCTCTAAATTTCTTACTATATACATCCTTTCTGTGAGAAAGCCAGCATAAATAAAGGAATGAGGGAGGGATGGAGGGAGGGAAAGAGAGGAAGGAAAGGAAAGAAGGATGGGCAGACCAGAGATACCACTATACTGACTTCTAAATTCCTTTAAGTCTTCAATAAAAAACAGACATTCTTTTACAACGACATCAGAGTCATCACAATGTTGTGTAGAACTCAAGAAGTGTTTGACAAGTGTGGAAAATTACTCATTCTCTCAAAACGTAAAACACAGGCTGTGGACTACCCATTTTGGTAGCAATTAAACCTAAAATATATACTATTTTGAATGAAAGAATTTATGAGCGTTTACATCAGAAATTTATCTAACAAACAGACCTATCAATTTCAGTGGTCTCTTTTTGCCATAAATAGTATATAATTTTGCCTGTAATATTTGATAAGTCTTTCTGAAGAAGATGTACTGATGAAATGGATGGCCATTCTTTTCATGGAAAAGGAATATGGAAAACAACAACAAATCAAAAATGACTTTTAAGGAACAAATGCCAGCTGGGCAGTGGTGGCGTACACCGTTAATCTCAGTACTAGGGAGGGAGAGGCAGGCAGATATGAGTTCAAGGCCAGCCTGGTCAACAGAGCAAGTTCTAGGATGCACTCCAAAGCTACAGAGAAACCCGGTCTTAAAAAAAAGGAACAAACAAAAATAAAGAAACAATTGCTAAGCAAAGCATGCAGTTTTAAAAATGTGCATAATATGTAATACTCACAAATGTATGGAGTGGTCCTACTGAACACATTATAAGAAAATTATTTGTATTTCATGCAAGAACAAAGATTTTCCATTAATTGAAGGTTTCAAGATCTAAGTGAATTAGATATAGGAAAAAGTAGTATAACTTTTAACTGAAAATTTTAGAAGTTGATCTGGAGAGGTTGTTCAGTGGTTAAGAGCACCTGCTGTTGTAGAGGTTGGAGTTATAAGACCTACAATTAGGGCTCACAACCACCCTCAACTCCAGTGTCAGAAGATCTGACTCCCTCCTTTGGACTCAGCAGATACTAAACACACACACTGCATGAACAGATGGAGGCAGGTCACCCATACACATAAAATTAAAACACAAAAACAAAGAAATTTATCTTCAAAAATGAGTATATAAACAATTATCTATTATGTTCTATTACTAGATTGTCTCACATCTTAATTTACTGAAAGATAATTTTATTTTTCAATATAAATCAATCAATAGGAAAGTTACTTTTTAAAAAAATAATAAAAAGCAAAACTGGGGATCAAAATAAAACATCACCCATTTTTATTAAATAGTATATGGATAAGAACCTTGTCCAGTTAGAAGGTATCAACAAGAGATGAAAACAATACAGACATGAAAACTAAAACTATAAACATAGTAAATTAAAACTAAAACTTTGAAATAACAATATTTGAAGGAACTAATTTAGAAACACAAAGTTTAGAAAATGTTAAGAGAAAGAAAGCTTTAAAAGATGTGATAAGACTAAAGTATAATAAGAAATAAATTTTAAAAATTATGATAAATATAAATAAACTAAAAGTAAATTCAAAAATATTAAGGGTTAACATAAAAAATTTGCAATCTTTTAAAAACCTAAGGATGCTATGGAAAAGGACGAGGAAAAAGGGTTAAGAACAAAAGAGAATGGACGAGACTAAGGAACCAGGGACAAGGTTGTTGCACACATGAACTCAGAGAGACTGAGGCAGCATGCATAGTCTGTAATGGTGCGCACTAGATGTGGGCCTAGAGCTAAAAGAAGTGAACATACATACCCAACCCTAACCTAGACTGTATCTATTTACAAATGATAGCCACTTGCAAATGAGAAACTGGTTTTCTCCACAGGAGTCTCAATGGAGAAACAAACTACTCTTATGGGTGGACCGCATTTCTATCAGTAGCTGGCCAACATAAAACTAAGTCAAAGGGATCTACAGAGGTTCTTCCTCTCATAACGGTAAGTCAAGGGTTTCTCTCCTAACCTTAAAGAATCTTTGATTATGTACTATGGCTTTATGTTTTGGGTTTTTATAAGATTCTTGAGTATGCAAACATGTGTCTCTACATCAATATGTGTTTCTTGTGCCTTTGTTTGGCTCTTTTTCTTGGTTGTTATATTCTGATTTGTTTTTCATTTAACTTATGTTATTATCATTCATTAAATGTCTGTTAATCAGAAAAAGTGGAGATTCAGATGTCAGGAGAGGTGGGAGGACCTGGGAGGAGTAAAGGGAGAAGGAAACTATAATCAGAATACATTGTATGAAAAGCAAAAAAAAAAAAAAACATTTTAGATATAACAACAAAAACAAAACAAAAATAAAGGTGCTCACAACTTCTGATGTAAAGACTTGTTCTATAAATTTAAAGGAAATCAACAAGATGTGACTTAGATCAAGCCAACAAATGAATATAGTGAAAAGAACCAAATCTAGAATTAAGAAATAACTCATTTTTAGCAAAAAAGAAATTCAGTGGGGAAAAGAAAGCTCCAAACTAGAACACATGTATAACATATTAGTAATGAACCTTTATCAAGCATATATTTTAAAAGAAAAAGTTAATAATCAATGACAAGAAAAACAAGGAGGACAATTAACAAAGTAAAGGCAAAAAAAAAAAGTGAAGCCAGCTCAACATCACGAGTCATCAGAGATAACAAACTTAAACTACTAAAGACTAAAAGAGATACAGAGTTGAGCTCTGGCACTGCTGGTCCTCCTAGGGTAAAACAGCATTGTCGTTTAGCAAAAGAACATTCTTGCAATATTTCTTAAAGCTAAAAATGTATCTACTACAAAGCCACAAACTTCTACCTACTATGTTTGTACACGAGAAATGGAAACACTTCAACAGTAAGACTGGATAACTTTATTTGTAATAGTTCTAATCTCAAATAACTCCAACTGACATCAATAATAGAATGGGTAAGCAAACACCATACATTCATCTAAAACATTACTTTGCCATAAAAAAAACACAATGTAAATTAGTTTAATAACAAGAATAGATTTCAAAATAGCATACTCCATTTATATTAAATTCAAGAAACACACACACACACACACACAAATACAGAGAGTAAAGAAATAAGAAAGGAAGGGGAAAAAGACTCAGTGATACACAAATCTAAACAGTGATTGCCCACAGGGACAAGAGCCAAAGAAACCTGCATAACAGAATCTGTACCTTAGTGTTGCAAAGGTGCCAATTACCCAAATCCCCAAATGTCCAGTAAAGTTCTACATACTTCATTGCACTTAAAAGCTACCCCACACATCAGTATCAGCATGATCACCAACACCATACTGTGATGCTTAGAGAACTATTACTGAGACAGCAATTAAGCTGCTGTAAGATTTTGATTAACAAAACAACTAACAATGAGAAAGACTCATTTAGCATGAAAAGTATAAAATATAATATACATCTCTAATTGTGGAAAATCACGTATCGATAAGCACTACAGATAATACTTATCAACACTACAGGTAATAAAATGTGGACTAAAATGACAATATCATTATCTAACAGTACTTAATGAATTAATCAAGGTAGTTTATCTTCATCCAGGGGAAAACATACTAAAAGGCAGAAACTGTTAATTTTAAAGTACCTCTAGATTGAAGTACAAATAAAAACTTATCAAGGAGGGGGAAAAAAATCAAATACAAAGCTGAATCAAGCCTTTGAAGTAGAAATTAACCATTAAAAGATAAATTGCTGAGGCTAGAGAGATGGCTCGGTGGATAAGAATGGCTTTTGCAAAGGGCTTGACTTCAATTCCCAGCACCGACATTGCAACTCACAACTGTCTATAACTCCAGGATCTGACACCTTCATATTTATATATACAGGAAGACAAAACACCAATATACATAAATAATAATTAATTAACAAAAAGATAAAGAGCTATCTCCAATCTCAAAAAGTAAGGGGATAGAGCATTTGAAAAAAATCTCTCAAGTAGAAAAAAGGAGCCAGGGCTGAGCGGATCCAGTGAGGTGAGTGAGTGACCGCAAGGCCAGATGGTCCCAGGAACTGAGTCCAGGCCCCTCCAATTCCTGAAACTTTTCTGGCCATCCAGCGGGGTGTGTTCTTGGCTGCTGGCTTTCTTTATCCCATTCCAGCCTGCTGCTGAAGACCGCCTTTTCATCTGCAGAGTCCTTGGTTTACCCAGCACAGCATGCTTCAGGGTGGAAGAGATCTGAGAGCCTGCTGCAGTGCTTAGGGGACTTAAGAGAGGGCAGACCAAGAAAACTCCCAAGTACACAGTCAGCCACAGCAAAGATTGGAACAAGACGCCAAGACTCTGTTGGCCTCATTTGAAGGAAGAGATGGGCAGGTGCAAGAACTCCTCCAACATCCTGAAAAGCAATATGATAACACCAGAATCCAGTGAACACGAAACAAGAAGACTTGAACATCCTAACCCAGAAGAAGTAGAAGAATTCGACTTTAAATGTAACCTTATGAAAATGATGGAAGACCTTAAACAGGAAGTGAAAAACTCCCTTAAAGAAATGGAAGACAAACAAAAAGAAGAAATTAATAAATCCCTTAAAAATACCCAAGAAAACCAAGAAAAATCAATCAAACAGGTAAGGGAAACAGTTCAAGACCTGAAGACCAAAATGGAGGCAATAAAGAAAACACAAACCAAGTGATGGCTGGGTAAGGAAAATCTGGGTAAACAAATAGGAACTACAGAGACAAGTATAACCAACAGAATATAAGAGATAGAAAAAAGAATCTCAGACACTGAAGATACTATAGAGGAAATAGACTCACTGATCAAAGAAAACAGCAAATCCAACAAATTCATAACACAAAACATCCAGGAAATCTGGGACACCATGAAAAGGCAGAACATAAGAATAATAGGGGTAGAAGGACAATTCCAGCTCAAAGGCCCAGAAAATATATTCAACAAAATTATAGAAGAAAACTTCCCAACCTAAAGGATATTCCTATGAAGGTACAAGAAGCTTACAGAACACCAAATAGACTGGATCAAAAAAAATAAATCCCCTTGGCATATAATAACCAAAACACAAAACATACAGAATAAAGAAAGAATACTAAGAGCTGCAAAGGAAAAATTGAAGTAATATATAAAGGTAAACCTATCAGAATTACACCTGACTTCTCAATGGAAACCATGAAAGCCAGAGGGTCTTGGTTAGATGTGCTGCAGACACTAAGAGACCATGGATGCAAGTCCAGACTACTATACCCAGCAAAGCTCTCTTTCACCATCGATGGAGAAAAAAAGATATTCCATGACAAAAACAAGTTTAAACAATACGTAGCCACAAATCCAACCTTACAGAAAGTACTAGAAGGAAAACCTCAACTCAGGGAAGCCAACAACATTCACAATAGCACATACATCTGACAACCCTCCACCAACACAACTCAAAGAAGGGAAACACACAGACACTATCACCAAAAAAATAACCGGAGTTAATGACAACTGGTCATTAACATCGCTTAATATCAATGGACTCAACTCACCTATAAAAAGGCACGGGTTAAGAGAATGGATACAAAAACAGTACCTGACATTCTGCTGTTTAAAAGACACACACCTCAACCACAAAGACAGACATCTACTCAGAGTAAAGGGTTGGGAAAAGGTTTTCCAAGCAAATGGACCTAAGAAACAAGCAGGTGTAGCTATCCTAATATCTAACAAAATTGATGTCAACTAAAATCAATTAGAAGAGATGGAGAAAGACACTTTATACCCATAAGAGGAACAATTCATCAAGACAATGTCTCAATCCTGAATTTCTATGCCTCTAATATAAAAGCACCCACATATGTAAAAGATACATTACTAGAACTCAAATCACACATCAAACCCCACACACTAATAGTAGGAGATTTCAACACTCCTCTCTCACGAAAGGACAGGTTAACCAGACAGAAACTTAACAGAGAAATAAAAGAATCAACAGATGTAATGACTCAAATGGACTTAACAGACATGTATAGAATATTCCACAAAAACAGGAAAGTATATACCTTCTTCTCAGCATCTCATGGAACCTTCTCAAAAATTGATCACATAATCGGTAACAAAGCAAGCATTCACAGATACAAAAAAAATTGGAGTAACCACTTGTCTTATCGGATCACCATGGAGTAAAGGAGAATTTAACAACAATTCCACCCCCAGAAAGCCTACAAACTCATGGAAACTGAACAGTTAACTAATGAACCACCTCTGGGTCAAGGAAGAAATAAAGAAAGAAATTAAAGTCTTCCTTGAAAACACAACATACCCAAACCTATGGGACACTATGAAAGAAGTGCTAAGTGGAAAGTTCATAGCACTAAGTGCTTACATAAAGAAAACGGAGAAATCTCACATTAGAGACTTAAGAGCACAAACACCCGAAAGCTCTAGGAAAAAAAAAAAAAGCAGACTCACCCAGAAGCGGTAGAAGACTGGAAAATAATCAAACTGAGGGATGAAATCAACAAAATAGAAACACAGAAAACAATCCAAAGAATCAATGAAACAAAGAGCAGGTTCTTTGAGAAATTCAACAAGACTGACAAACTCCTATCGAAACTAATCAAAAGGTAGAGAGAGAACACTCAAATTAACAATATCAAAAATGAAATGGAGGATATAACAACAGACACTTTAACAAATGGTGCTGGCATAACTGGATGTCAACCTGTAGAAGAATGAAAATAGATCCATATCTATCACCATGCACAAAATTCAAGTCCAAACGGATTAAAGACCTCAATATAAATCTGATCGTACTGAACCTGATATAAGAGAAAGTGGGAAGTAGTCTGCAACACATGGACACAGGAGACCACTCCCTACGTATAGCTCCAGTAGCACAGACAATAAGAGCAACAATAAATAAATGGGACCTCCTAAAGCTGAGAAGCTTCTACAAAGCAAAGGACAAAAAGGCATCCTACTGAATGGGAGAAAATCTTCACCAACCCCATATCAGACAAAAATCTGATCTCAAAAATATATGAAGAACTCAAGAAACTAGACATTAAATTCTAAATAACCCAATTAAAAAATGGGGTACGAACTGAAGAAAGAATTCTCAACAGAAGAAGTTCAAATGGCCAAAAGATACTTAAAAACATGTTCAACTTCCTTAGCTATCAGGGAAATGCAAATCAAAACAACCAAAGATAACCTAATGCTGGACAGGATATAGAGTAAGGGGAACACTCATCCATTGCTGGTGGGAAGGCAAACTTGTGCAACCACTTTGGAAATCAGTTTGGCGGTTTCTCAGAAAATTAGGAGTCAACCTACCTCAGGATCTAGCAATACCACTCTTGGGAATACACCCAAGAGATGCCCAATCATACTACAAAAGCATTTGTTCAACTATGTTCATAACAGCATCATTCATAAAAGCCAGAACCTGGAAATAACCATTGAGATGCCCGTCAATGGACGAATGGATAAAGAAAGTGTGGCACATCTACAACTCAGCAGTAAAAAACAATGACATCTTGAATTTTGCATGCAAATGGATGAAAATAGAAAACACTATCCTGAGTAAGATAATGCAGACCCCAAAATATGAATATGAATATGAATATGTACTCACTCATTAGTGGATTCTAGCCATAAACAAAAGGCATTGAGTCTATAGTTCATGATACTAGAGAAGCTAAGTAATAAGGTAAACACAAATAAAAAGATATATAGATCCTCCTGGAAATTGGAAGCAGACAAGATTGCCAGGCAAAAGTTGGGAGCATGGAGATGAGGTTGGGGCAGGGGAAAGGGAGAGGGGTAAAAAAACAGCGAAGGGGAAAGCAGGGGCGAGTTTGGGGGAGTGGGATGGTTGAAATGGAGCAAGGACTGATATGAAAGAAGGGAAGAAGAAATCTTAATTAAGGGAGCCATTTTGGGGTTGACAAGAGGCTTGACTCTAGGAGTTCCCAGGTGTCCACAGGGACTCCCTAGCTAGGACCCTGGGCAGTGGAGGAAACGGTGCCTGAACTGGCCTTGACCCATAGTCACACTGATGACTATCTTGAATATCACCATAGAACCTTTGTCCAGTGACAGATGGAGATAGAGACAGAGACCCACATTGGAGCACTGGACTGAGCTCCCAAGGTCCAGTTGAAGAGCAGAAGGAGGAAGAATATGAGCAAGGAAGTCAGGACCACGAGGGGTTGGTCCACCCACTGAGCCAGTGTGCCTGAGCTAATGGGAGCTTACCAAATCCAGTTGGACTGGGACGGAACGAGAATAGCATCAAACTGGACCCTATGAATGTGGCTGACAATTGGGGCAGACTGAGAAGCCAATGATAATGGCACTGGGATTTGTCTCTACTGAATGTACTGGCTTTTTGGGATCCTATTCTATTTGGATGCACACCTTCCTAAGCAAGGATGGAGGGTGGACTTGGAGTTCCCACAGGGCAGGTTAGCCTGCTCTCTCTTAGGACTAAAGGGGGAGAGGGGTAGGGAGACTGGGAGAGTGGGAGGGAAGTGGGAGGAGAGGAGGAAGTGGAAATTTTGAATGGTATTATTTATAAAGCAATAAAAAATATTAGAAAAAAATAAAGAAAAAAAAGGAACCAGGTAGAACTTTTCCAAATGAAAAGCACATGAATAAAACCTTACTTGTGCATTCTGATTTTACAAATTCTGAATACATGAGATAATTATTAACAAGATATTAATATTAATACAGGTCTGTTTTTACAAATGAGAGCCTTTGAGCTTGCTGGTCTGAACCACAGCAATATACACAAACTTTAGATGTACACAATCTTCCTTCTGGAGATCTAAGTGTCTCACCTAATCACAACAGTTTCTCTGGTATAGCCACCATCATACTCTGTAGTCTCTTCCAAGGCCTGGAAATCTAGATTCTGAAAATTACAGAAAAAAATATTTTAGCATCTACAGCACACCATTAAAAAAATAATTTATGAGGTTTATTGACAGATGTTTTTCTTACCCGGCTTCCACATATAAGCAATTCAATCTCCTCTGGCCTGAATAAGTATTTTAAGGGAGATTCATTAGTCACCATATGGAAACCTCTGCGAAACGCCTTGAACTGTTTTTCTACTGATTTATTCAGAATGTAGTCTGCATAAAGATTGACAAATTCCTGTACAAATATTAAAAAAAGAAATCACATGCTATAGACGTGAGCACAATTACCTATTAGGCTGCACAGCCGCTTTTAGTCCTGCCCAAAAGAAGTCATTTAGAAATATTTTTAAAAATAAATTTTGAGGAGAGGATTCAGTGATGAAGAACATTAGCAAAACTTACAGAGAATCTAAGCTTATTTGCTAGCGTTAGCATGACAGGCTAACAACCATCTGTAACTCTACTTCCAAGAAACTAAACACCCTCTTCTGGTCTCCATGGGCAATACATGCAAACAATCCATCAACATTCATAAAGGCAAAACATTCACGCAAATAAAACAAAAGCCTTTAAAAATTAATAGAACGTATGAACAAAGAAAAATACATTTACAATTCCTCACTTCTAAGAGTAAAATAGGAATTAAAATAAAATGTAATTTTATAATAGCAAGACTAATATAAAAGATTAAGAAGGACTTAATATAAAGAGCTTCAACACGTTTCAAAGTCCTTTAACTAAGTATGCAAATATAAATTTACGATAGAATACTAAATTTTAGCAAATCAGAATGTCTCATGATTTCTACAAGTTTTGGTAAAATATCTACTGTATGCAGTTCAGCAAAAATACTATTTGTTGGTAAGCTCAAATACTGTGTTAAAATTATTAAAAATGGAATTGTGTATCCTGACAGAAATATTTTACAAAAAGGGTACTAATATAAACTTACATACTCTAACAATTATACTATTTATTGTAATTTTCTTATACTGCTCAGTTATTTCCTCTTCCCAAATGAATACCAAATTCCAAATTTCAAATTCCAAATTGAAATGTTGTTTCAAACAGAAAACAAATCTAACAAAATGAATAATTTTCACATGTATACTTAGATTTTAAATGGGAAATATTTATACACACTAATTAGGACCTTAGTCACTGGGCCCTATCTACCTCGAAGGTTTGATATGGTAGTGCCCTGTTTCTGGTGTTAACACTATAGCTAGATTTACCAATTCATTTTCTCCTAGTCTGTGGACTCTTTCTCTAGCAATTAATTGTGTACCTTCATACTGGCTCTTTCTAAGGGTTGATAAACTGTATCTTCACTATTTACATAAATTTGTTTATGTAATTTTTTGTTACTGCTTCAAGCAGTATTAAATAATTCTTTGAAAATTCTAAGAATATTTCTTTGAAATTTATTATTTACAAAATAATGACAGAAAATTTTTATTACCTTCCTGTTTTCATTTGTAATAGGGATTTTATCACCATTTTCCTTTAGATCATACATCATTGGGTTACCGAAAAGATCTGTCTGTGATATCTGGAAAGTGATCATCATATCATCTTCCACATTCCCTTCATATTCCAATAAATCCTTTAAACTCTGATATAAAACCTAACAACCAGAAAGAGAAGTGAGGTTACCAAATAACTTATAAAAAGCATTTTAAAAGACAGAGAGAGAGCAAGAGCATGTTTCATTCCTTTTAGAAACCATCTGTCAATAAAAATAAAGCCAAAATTATTTATTTACCATCTCCCTAGTAACTTAATGAGACACAAAAGACTGTCATTGAGTCAGGTGGTGACAGTGCATGCCTTTAACCCCAGCACTTGGGAGGCAAAAGGCAGGCGAATCTCTGAGTTCAAGACCAGACTGGTCTACAGAGTGAGTTCCAGGACACCCAGGGCTACAAAAAAAAAAAAAAAAAGAAAAAAAAAAAAACACGACAACACCCACAGGGTCTCCAAGGAGGAAAAAACCACATCAGCTGTGTCCATCAAAGACCAGTTGATGTTCATTCCACCAGGCAGACCCACAGGCTACACTGAAAACAAAGTGTTCACAACATTTCACTATATGATCAATCAAAACTCGCTTGATGTGATCTATAAAAACAACACTCTTGAAAATTTTAAACTTTACCACACTGGGTAACAGTATATATTGCAAAAGATTCCAAACAAAAACATATTTTTATAAATTAGGATGTGTTTCTACATGAAGTAGTATCTTACAGACCAAAAGAAGAATGATAACTTACTGGGTGAGAGTCTCCCAAGTCACAAAAGGTTCCTTTTTTTCCCATTAGCTTCCTGTAGACAACCATGGGAAAATGGACATCCAGTATACAATTATTATAAATAGCCAGTCCGAGGACTATGCCAATCAGCGTGAACTGGCCCTCGGTTTCAAAGGAAGATGGATTAAACCAAAACAATTTTGTAGCTTCATCATATGTGAACATACCTATAAAAAATAAATTTTAAAATAATTTGTATTTTTCGAAGTTTTAAAAGTTAAAAATAAAATTTTGAACAAAACAACACATAAGAATTTTAATACAGAAGATATAAGTTTTTACTACTAAATGCATGTGACAAAACTGTGCAAAAGTAGTATATGATTATATTAAGTGCATTAACAGCTAATACACAGTTCTAAGAAACCAATGAAACAAAATAATATGCAACTTGGGTGACATTTCTAAAAAGGTATTTTTAAAGATTAAATTATGCATAGCTTATTATCAATTTTCATTGACAAATAAAAGTTAATTTACAATCTTTTAGGCACTCAATTACATTTTAGACACTGAAACTTAAACAAGAAGCAAACTCATGATCAAGTAAAAAATAATATAATGTTGATTAACTTTAAGTTACTTAGATACCTATATAATGTGAACTAATAGTTTAAAAAAGCAATTTTGTAATATTTCATCTTTACATGATCTTCATTATTAAAAACCAAACTTAAAAGACACTTTTTCCCTATTATCATTACTTCATCTACGGAACCAGTAATAGAGATTTGTCTTTTTTTTTTCACTGAACAAATATAAAAATATTTAAAATAAATTCATATGCTTTCTAATTTTTCTAGGTTCATTTTCAGCTGCTTCACAGGAAATACTTCTAAATTAAGGTCTAAATATGCTGGGGTAGACGGGGTTTGCGTATCTTAGCATTTGGCAAAATGAGACAGGAGGATCATGAGTTCAAAGTCAGAAAGCACTAATATAATATAAAAACACTATCCACAAAACCAAAACCAAGACCAAAGTGTATGTATATATGCGTGTGTGTGTGTGTGTCTGTGTACACACACACACATATATATATATTTGAAGGTCTGGGAAAAAAACTTTTTTCTAATGAAACAGGATTATTCAAAGCCAAATAAAACAGCATTAAAATGTACTTTTAACTTAATTTTGTAATAGTTTTGAATGTTCATTTTCAGTTTTAATGAAAAAGAAAAATACAAATTTCTCTTTGACTAGAAGGAATATAAATGAAATCTATGCCTTTTCTTGCAATTTAATATTTGTGAAATACTGGTTTTAAAATTATTCAATTCATACCTGAGTTTCACAGTTTGAAAAATAAATATTATTCTCATGCCTTCAACTGTTTTCAATCCACCATTCTAAGGTTTAACAAAAAGATATTTTTTCTCTACTAGAATATTTGGCTAAACAATCTAAGGAATAACATGAATACATGAGAGACAGATCAATTCCTGAAACATACACATTTGTTATCTGTAACTAATTAAAGGTAAGTCATACTCATTTTTTTGTTGTTTATCATAGCAGAGAATATTCATAAAGTCAAGTTTGTAATTCAAAAAACTAACATGAATCATTAACACTTACCAATATCTGGATTAAAGATTTCTTCCACGACCAACTGAAAAAATTCTTTGGAAACACCTCCCTCATCCACTCCTTGTTCTCCTTCAAATTCCACATACAATTGCTTCTTCAAGTCTGCAGGATTCTCCATAGCAATCATCTCTAGCTGTTTATAAACGAAAAGATAAACAGGAGGACTGATGACAACAGCATAAAAGCTAAACTTTCTTCTGAAAACAAAGAGTATTAATAGGAAGCAATTTTGTTTCTGAATGGAAACAAGAAGCAAACGGACCAATCCCCAACAAAAACAAGAGAGTATGATAGAGTGTTAGGGACATGCCTCATTAGTTAAGAGTGCATCATTTATAAGCATTAAAACCTCAGTTGGAATCCCCAGCGTTGACGTTAAACTCCTGGCATGGTCCCTCATGCCTGTAATATGGTGGAGAACAGGCTGGAAGAGCTCTAAGGCATAGCCAAAATGGTGAGCTTCTATTTCACTCAATGATCTTCCTATCTAGAAGTGGAAAGATACCTGACATCATAGATGGGCTTCTAGATGTTCACACATGGGTTCACAAATCAGCACATTCACATGATTAACCACAAACATACACCACACAACACATAACACACAAAACCATCACTGCATAAAATGGTTACTTCTAACTCAGCAACTGAATTTTCTATTATATTTTATAAAATAAATTAATATAATACATAGAACGAGGCATGAGAACAAATTGAAGCAGCAAAATGCCTGTTGTCTTAGCAAAAACAGCATTGTTGAATAATAGAGATTATAGCAGACCTATAAATAATTTATATTTATTAAAATAGAAGTGTAAAGAGTTAAGCTTTTCTAACTGCCATGCTATAAATGAAATAATTTCAGTTAAGAAATATACATTAGAAAGTCAGATGTGTTAGCTCAGACCTATGAGACAGGAAAATGATAAGTTCTAAGAAATCTTGGATTACATATTAAGACTCTGTTGTTAACACAATTCCCCTCCTGCCAAAACAAATTTATAGTTATTGCCACTTCTTAGTGGCTTATAATGTGACATGTAATATCCAAATTTTCAAAGGCAGATGAAACATATATTTGATATCTTTATTTTTCATCTAACAATTAGCCAAACCTGCTCTCCACTACCATTAACTTCAGTTCACTATGAAATTAATATTAAATTATAATGTGTTATGTTGAAATTGTAACTTGTTTTATCTACTTAAATTTTGCAGATAGTAGTCATAACTAATTATACAATTTATTTTCAACATAGTAGTCATAACTAATTATACAATTTATTTTCAACATTGTTTCCAAATACCTGTTAGCTTAAAAAAATGTAACATTAAAGATGAAAGCTTGACAAAACAATATTTAAGAATGTTAAAGTCTTCTTAACTATTTCAAAAGGAATTTTAAAATGTTTTAAGTGGCACCAGAATAAGTCTACTAGTTTACTAATGCAAATGCCATAAGCAACAATAGTGTTTTGGTATTCTAACAATCTATAAAATAAATAAATAAACCCAAATTCTCATAAATTCAGGAATCTGGTCAAGTTGCCCTAAATCTAAGTTTAAAATTTAAACTGTGAGCTGCGATGGTTTGCCACCAGTGAGAACTAAAACAGAAACAACAAAAATAAATAAAAACACTACATCAGAATCAGCAAAAGGACCTGCTGTTTGTGGCAAGATAAATTTCAATGTACAGGTACAGATTTTGTTTAGGATGCTATATTTTTCTTAGTAGGGGATACAGCCAAAACTTTTTTGGGAAAAAAACAAATGGTTCAAATTACTTCCTGGATACCTTCAACTTATGGATTCTATGATATTATGAATTCATTTTTTAAAAACATCTCTGTCTTGGTCTTAATTAAGTCATTTGTATGTCTTCATGTGTGCACCTTACTTGTCAAAGGAGTTTCTCTTTGGCCTAGAAGACGGAAGATCAGCACAGGCTGTACTGTCAAGAAGCCCCAGGCATCTGCCAGTACCTGACTATCTACCATCAGTATTGCAAGGCCCACTCAAATTTTCCTTTTGTTAACAAAGTTTTGAGGATTAATCTCAGGTCTACTTGTAAGTACTTTACTATACTAACTGATCTATATTCTCAGCTGACATACATAATTTTAAGTCAGTATTTATTGAAAATTTATTTTTGAGGCAGTAAATTTTTGCTGAATATATAAGAAACAAAATACTCTATTAAAATAAAGTCGCAATTGTCACAAAAGATTAACATTCAATTAAACGTCAGTAAATCAAGCCAAATTTTTAATGTACAAAGAATAAAAGGGGGTAATATTCTCCCTACTACAAGATGGCAAAAGTTTAATAGTATATAATTTCTATGAAGCATGCAAAATTGGTGAGAACTAATAGTATTTTTCAAAAACTCTATTTCTTAAAATTCATAATTTTATGTTCCGAACAGATCAAAAGGTAGACTAGTTCTGAGACTACTGGTTCCGGAGAATTGTCTGTATTCTGTCAATCATGTTTTAAATAAACGCTGATTGGCCAGGCAGGAAGTATAGGCGGGTCAACGAGACAGGAAGTAGAGGAGGGGCAATAAGAAAAGGAGTATTCTGGGTAAAAGGAAGCTTTCTCTGCAGTCCTGCACATACTGCAGTCTTGCACATACTATGGAATAAGATGTGATCTGCCCTGCTGAGAAAGGTACCGAGCCATGTGGCTAACATAGATAAAAATAATGGGTTAATATAAGTGATAAGAGCTAATAATCAGCCTGAGCTAATGAACCAATAAGTTGATATCTAATGTAGACTCTCTGTGTGATTTTCTTTGAGACCTAACGACAGTGGGAACTGGGCAAGACAGAAACCCCCAACGAGCATGTCCCTAATGTTACACTGTGCAGTCAAAAATTATGTAGATTCAAAATTAACCTAGGAAATTGAAAAGGAAAGCAAACCAACAAAAGCGCTAATTGAAAACCTGTCTTAAGACAGAATAATTTTGAACCTTTAAATTTCAATGATCCCACACAACATTGCCCTTATTACTGTGTAATCTGTTTTAGCGCTTTCTCCCAGTTCTCAAATTGCTAAGAATTCAAGAGATTTCAGTGAATGCTTTCATTTTCTTTTCCACCATAGAAGTGAAACTGCTTTAATCAAGCATTACTAAAAAGGAAAAAAAGGCCGACACTACTTATGCATTTGATTGCTATTTCTATTAAAACATGTAAATTATTGGTTCAAAAGCTTGTTGGTATTCTTAGTCCTTTTTCATTCTAATAAGACAGTCTATATCCATTTCTAACAATCATTGCTATCCACCCCCCCAAATACCGGTTAACCAGAAGCTTTTAATACTGCATATTCTATTATGATCACTGAAAACACAATCAATATTGACGTGCTCAGATTAATTCTCTAATACTAACTCTGCCTCTAAGTTTGGGTTGCAAGTACTACCATTCTATTAATTTAAAATGCCCCAGGCTCTCTACACATGGTAGCACATGCACATAACCCCAGCACTCAAACTCTTTAATGCTGTTTACCTACATAGAAAAATTCAGGCCAGTGAGTGCTTTACAGGCATTCTCTATCTAAAATAAGATTAACAAATAAATAAATATTTCCAATTTTGTCAGAATGTTTAACCACAAGATTTTTTTTTTCTTTTTCTTTCTCTGGTTTTTAGAGACAAGGTTTCTCTGTAGTTTTGGAGCCTTTCCTGGAACTAGCTCTTGTAGACCAGGCTGGCCTCAAACTCAGATATCCACCTGCCTCTGCCTCTCGAGAGCTGAGATTAAAGGCGTGCGCCACCACCGCCAAGCCTAACCACAGGATTTTAAAGACAAAAATATTGCAGGATAAGAGCAGCAGAAGCAGTATATAAAAGTGATGGGTCACTTTACAAATAAAAACAACCTCCCAAGTAGGCTGTTAGAAAACTTTACAGATGGGCTTCTAAATTAGTCGAAAGGTCGTGTAAATTATGAAAGAGTAGCTCAGAGAGTGGCTCCAATCCAGCTGCAAGTGCTAGACTACAGTCAACTACTTCTCCACAGAAACTAGATAGAATATTGGTTTCTGAATTTTGTGTGCCTTTCTACTTTCTTTGGTTTTCTATATTTTTTCAACACTCACATATTATTTTCAGAATCAGGGTGTATTTAAATGTTATGTTTTAAAAATAGTTGGCAACTTAATTCTGTAGATGTATCCAATTGGCTATTTAAGAAGACCATTCTTAATGTGTAAAAGTGATTTTGGATATATTACCTGAGGATAGTGGGCTAGTAGCCAATCTTTCTAAAAACTGTGGCAAGAAACGAAACGTATTATATAATAATATCTTTGGCAGAAGCCATTATCATATGAAATCACATTAAATTTTCTGTTTCCTAAAAATAATAATCCTTAAAACACACACACCTTAAGCCACTGTTTCAATCAAATAGCATAGGAATTAAAATTACATTACATACAAATTATATTACATACAAATTATAGTTACAGTACTTTAAATAATAGCTTTTATTTAAAACTGAATTTATAAAAATCAAGTTGTTTTATATGTAATTGGGTATATGAAAATGAAAACTGTTGGAAAATGCCAGACAATTTTGAAAAAAAAAACTGTGTGCACCCTTAACCTTATTTATTATAAAGCAATGGATCTTATATGTATTTATATTTCTTAAATATAAAATAGATAGTATTGCCTAGTACAAAGGAAAAATAAAATATACTGATATTATTATTCTTTATTAAAATACAGTGGTAACTGCCACACCCTAAATAGGCTTCTTTTCTGATTAGAAACTTTTGCTCTCATAGATTGTTAAAATAATTTTAAACTCTTTAACTTTAATTAGCAAGAGAAAATCCTGGCGAGATCATTTTTTACAAGATGATCTCATATGAAAGCATTTCTAAAACCATACTAAGTAGAATATATATTGATACAAAACATTCTATTCACATATTTTCAAAAATCAAAATTTTTTTGCAAGTCCATCATTTAAAACATTTAGACATCCTAGCTAGGCGGTGGTGGTGTATACCTTTAATTCCAGTACTCAGGAGGCAGAGGCAGGCGGATCTCTGTGAATTCGAGGTCAGTCTGGTCTACAAGAGCTAGTTCCAGAATAGGCTCCAAAGCTACAGAGAAACCCTGTCTCAAAATATTAAAAGAAAAAGGAAAAAAAAAACATTTAGACATCCTGAGTTACTACCTCAAATCCTATGCTGACATAATTTAAAAAGAAAACAACTAAGGATAAAATTATTTAGGGAGATGCAACACTCAAATTAGTTCAATAGTGCTAAGACTCTCCAAAAAAGGTGACTTATACATTTTGGTAAATACTCTTAAAATAATGACCACAAATGTAATTGCCTTAATGAATTTAACTTTTCTCATGTTATCTGTAAACAAAAGACCAAAGTGTTGTGCTTTAAAGTTTAAGCAGGTTACAGCTGAGTCAAATGATTTCATCTTAGGTAATAAATCCAATTATGACATTCATTTCTACAAAGAAGAATCTCTCTAAAGTTCACTTTCCTCACGAAAATAAAACAAAGGAGTTTTTGATATTTTATTTTAAATTATTAGATGAGGCTGAGCCTATTCTTTTTTTATTCCTCTTCTAAGAAATTACTTTTAAGGAGAATTCCATTCATTTCTATTAAAATAATGTTAAATAATAATCACACTAAGCAAAATTTAATTAATGAATGCTTGATAGAATTAAATACACAACACAAAAAAACTACATTATTAAAGCACTGTAGGCTACTGATGAAAAACTGAAGTACATGTAGCAGTAGGTATTTATAATAAAGGTAATTATGGAAGCTGAGTTAGGCGATGCTTTTAGACTCCCATATATACAGGGTTAGTGACTTGGGGAGGAAATTGAGCAACAATTCTGATAACTTTTCTTTGAACCAATTTCTTTCATCTGCATGTGCCAGGTCCTGGTTTTTAGACTTTGCTTTCCAACTTTCCATCTTCGCCATTCCTTTTGGTCATCTAAATAACTATGTAAAATTCTAGAACTTACTAATTTAATCAAGTCCCATAACACTATCAGCTCCTATTTCAATCACACTGACTTCATTAATCTTTTTAAATACTGGCAATATTCTAAGCACGCAAATTACAATAGCCTATAACCTATACATATAAACTGTACTAACAGTTCCCAAATATTAGTTTGTGGCATAGATGTACCAAAATATTTAAAGTATAGATCTCTAGGTTGCCTGTCAGAATCCCTAATCTGAGACCCTAGAAGGCAACACCTTAATTTTTTTTTTTCTGTTGTGTTTTCATTTGGGCAGCTCTCTATTTAAGACTGTGAGGGAAGTCTGAAGCCACTCATGTATGACAGTACTGTCTCTTCTTTAATACACACTACACTAATCTTCTACTCCTTTCAAAAAATAACTTTAAGATTTGATACACACTACAACCCTTGAAAAGCTTTGTTCAAATTGAAGAGAGAACATATATATTTAATGGAGGGCAAAAGGATACATGTGGCACAGCACAAATGTGAAGGTTTGAGGGTAAGGTTTGGGCTTCAGTTCGTTCCAACCATGTGCAACTAAAGGATCAAACTTAGTCATTAGGCCTGGTAGCAAGTCACTTTACCCACTAAAACCATCTCAGTAGCTTAAGAATATAAATATATATTATATATAGAATATACATATTAGTGTGTGTGTGCATATATATGTGTGTATTAAGAATTTTTAAAAACACTAAAATTGTTGTCATTCAGACAGAAGAAGGGTTCTCATTAATATTTATTTCTGCATTATTTTCATGGCAATAAAAGCCAAAAAACAGTTAAAGCAAAGCTCAAGAGAAATATTGCAGTAGTTTTTAAAAAACAGTACCTTATACTTAATAAAACATTTCAAACACTATTCTCTTGTTCAGTAACAGTTCCTCTAAAAGCACCAGCTTGGGTAGAGTCGTTAGACTGATTTGAAGTGAATGACACATAAAAGCAAGGGACATACTCTGGCTTTAAAAAAAAGACCAGAGTGTACACTCTTATAATTTTAGCACTAAACAGGAACAATAGGATCACAAGTGCAAAAAAAAATCATAATTACTAATTCTAATTTACTGGCCTATTCTGTACCTTTAAACTAGCTAGTCTAATTAACAAGTAAAAAAGTAAGAGTCAATAGAAAACTTATAAAAATCACATATGTAATCATTTCTAGGCCTCATTTGTAAACTAAGGAAAAAAACTTATTATCTCCTTCTTAGCTCTTAAGTTTAGGGTACTATAACTTTCATTATTTATTTATAATGTTGAATTCTCAGCAAAACTTCTCATTCCTTCTTCTCTATACAACCTTAATATGCAGTTCAAAATGACAGGATCACAACCAAGAGTGATCAACGGGAACTATTCTTATGAAAAAAAAAAGCACAAGATTTAAAACACAACAGTGGTGCATGACAAGTAAGGCAAGGATAAACAGAACAAAGCTGACTCATCAGATCATCGGGGATCTTTGTAGATACTGCTTGCTGTAAACCTCCTCCTTTCGGTTACTAAACTGACCTGACTTGCGATCAGTAATGCTGATGGGGGTTCTCAATTTGATCTTAAGGTATATGTCTATACTTACATTTCTAATCCTTTCACACTGGTATGTTGAAAAAGAAAGAAAACTAGGGTTGGGAGCTAAGGTGGTATAGAAAAACGAAGAAGAGGGGAAGAGGAAAAGTAGAGAAAGGAACTGCAAACTGGATAAAGAATAAAAGCTGAGAACCTTCTCAATAAATGTTAGCTCTTTGTTACTAGTGTATTGTTTATCAAAGAGACAGGCAGTAGGATTGTTGAAGACACAGGCTTTTGTAAACAGGTCCTAGACAAGTGCAGATATTATCTAATGGATTATGATTTGTAACATGTCAAAGCATATAACCAGTTGACATAACTAAGTAATATTCATAGCAACAATTTGTTACCATAATTACAAGGCTTACTGTTGATTTCATCCCAACACCTCTTTAGGAAAAGAATGTTAAATAAAGAAATGGTTAATTTTCCCCTAAAAGACCATTTAAAAAATATACAAATATTACCTAAATTTTTACTGGTGCTTAGCATCACTTTATTATAGAAAAAAAGGAGGAAAGGAAGAAAATAACAAAGAAGTCTGGTAGGAAAGGTGGATGATTTTGGTTAAGTCTGAATTTAGTTTAGTCTTACGACTTTTCAAATTTAGGCAAATCCATACTAAAAAAATATTATTTTCAAATAAGTATTAATCAGTTATCTGTTACAGGTTCTTATTATTTGTTAGTATATAAGGGTGACACTTTAAGTATAACAGATATTAAATTTTACATCAAGTTCATAGAAAAACAAGTAGCACTGACAAGAATAATTAATACCAAACAATAATGACCTGAATTTGTTAAATATGATTCTGTAAAACTATGACCAGCACCCAGCAAACCAATTTTCTGGCTTAACTGACAGAGACACTGCAATTCTTGTCATCTGTGGAAGAAAGGAACAGTTAAGAAGTAATGTCATCTGAAAGAAAAATCAGGGTATTAGAAGCACCTGACTTCCCGGTTAAATATTCTAGTTTTGATTGAAAAACTGAAACATTAATACCCAAATGAAGTCTCAGGACTTAACATTATTACAGTTAAAAAACCAAAATCTTATAGTGTCATATAAGACAGAGTGACTTAGTGGCTTAGAAATGAAGTCTTACTGATACAAAGAACCAACCTATCCTGGTCATATCATCCAGTTCAGAACAAGGAGTTTTACATAATGCAATCTGCTAGACCCCCTTACTGCTCCCAATCACACCTAGATCTGATCCCAAGCCTGAGCATCACATCTCCCTTTGTCATGGGTTTCACTCTTCATTCTTTGAAAACAGTCTTTTCTTTTGGACAGATACAAATGACACAAAAGGGACTGGCTTTCAAGACTTAGAAAATCTATCCCCCTTTAGTGCTCCTTAAATGTGTATGCGTGTGTGCATGTGTTGGGGGGGAGGCACGGGCACATGTTAAATGGTGGAATTGCTACATGTGTGGAGGTCAGAGCACATCAAATTTCAGTCCTTTCCATCTACCTTCTGAGACAGGGTCTAACTGCTCACTACCTTACATTAACAGGCAGGCTGACCCACAAGCTTCTGAGGGCTCTTCTGTCTCCACCGACCAACCTGCTTTAGGATGTGGAATCATAAATGGTACTACCACATCATATTTTAAACATGCTCAGGGAATCCAAGCTTAGGTCCTCATGTTTGCACAGTAAATTTTACCTAGAGACATCTCCTGAGCACTAGATAGATTATTTCAAAAAGAAATAATCATTATATTAGACAACAAATAGAATCAGTATTTTCGGTGAGTAGCAAGAAAGGTATAGTAACACAGATCAGAAATACCAACAAGTTCCTAAGTTACAGGACATCATTTTTCTTTCAAAACCATAGATGAAATGAATACACTGAAAAGTGTCACTCTGTAGCTTTCAGTTTAATTCTGATTTTAAGTAACAGTCAAACTTACCCGGACAAGTGCATCATCTATGATATGGTCACGTCTGACTTTGAGTCTCAAATACGGATTCAACTGCTGTCCTTGAACTAGACTGTAGAGAACAGTGATTCTTCGTTCACTGTACATGCGAATTCTATTGTCATAATATAATCCCAAATTCTTTGTGACAGCATTCAAAATAAAGGGACATGTCATAAAAGAGAATTTGTTCTCTGTTTCAACTTTGAAAAAGGTATAATCTTTATCCATTTCTAGAACATCATTCAATGGTTCATTAATGAATTCTTCAAAGGAGATAAGTGGTTTTCGACAATCTAGAGTTTTAACACCAAGTTCAGTTTCTATTGGGTCCACTCGAGGACCTTTCTTATTTCTTCTGTCCTCTCCCAAAAGCTCCTGCAGGGTCAACTCACTGGAATCAGGTATGGGCTCTTCATCATCTTCCTCATTGTGATTTGTGTCCACTTCCCCTCCTACTACATTTGCATAGTAGACCATTTTCAAACACTTTGAAGCAGCAACAATGGCATCATCATCATTCACTAGATTTCGGCTATTAAATTCATTGCTTATGACTTTGTAAGTAATTAGTTGCTGAAATGTTTCCATCATTCTCCGAATCTGGTCTGCACTGTATTTAGACCAAAGTCTAATCAGTTTTCCTTGAGCTTCAAGGGGTAGCTTACTCATAGCTTTGCAAAATAATGGCAGGGCCATTTCCAGATATTCAGGACTGTGGAGGTTTCTATTCTCCATTACAATAATGAACAAATTGAGATAATTAGGATCTCGAGCATACACACTATGATACAGCAAGTCACATTCCACATTAGGTGACAGATATACAATTGCATTAAGAAAGGCAGTTTCTAGTTTTTCATTAGAGAGCAAACTGGCGTAGACCCTTCTAATAGCATCAACATCCACAGTCACTTCATCAGGACCTAATTTCTGTGCATTGTTGTCTCCCTGTGAGCTATCAACCATCCGGGAAGAAGATGCTTCTGAGTCTTCTTCCATAGCAGCAGCAGCGGCAGCAGCAGCAGCAGCAGCGGCAGCAGCAGCAGCAGCAACAGCAGAACATGCAGCCTTTTCCTTTTCATCTTCATCCTTGTCTTCATCCTTTTCTTGTAGAGATTTCAATTCCTCCTTAGTGTGTTGTTTGACTTTCCGAAAGCTCATAACCAATGCCTCAGCACTAGAAAAAATTTTTCCAATTACGCGAATTAAAGGGGAGTAATCCTCACTCTCTCTACACACTTCCAGAATTTCATATACAATCTCTTCAGTTAGGTAATTCACATCTAGAAAACGGAAAGACAAAGAAGAACTATTGTTGTGATATACATGTTTATTTTGTGATCGTAAGTTCTAGTAATAAAGTAAAATACCTAAACATTTTGAATTCGAAAAGCTAGAAATTTAAAAAAAATAAACCTAATTGGTAAATCAACAAACTACACTTAGCAATTCCTATTTCATTTAAGTAATATCAACAACCTCACCCTTTAGCATTCATTCAACAACATATAATTATTAAGATTTGCTTTGTAATCAAGACATGCATTAGTATTTTTCTAAGTATAAAATAAATATGTATGTAATTTCATTGCTATACTGACTGCAACCTTAATGAAGAGTTACTACACTAATATCCTGGAAGCGTTTTCCCTTACATTGTTCTCAAAAGACTAAGAAGGCAAAGTTTTATACCAAGTGTTGCTCGGTCTCATCATATGCAAGCAACCCTTTTTCTACTCCCGTATATATTAAAATCAAGTGGCACACGCCTTTAAGCCCAGAACTTAGGAGACAGAGGAAGGCAGATCTCTGTGAATTCAGGTGAGTTCCAGGACAGAGCATTTACACAGAAAAACCTTGTCACAAAAAAAATCCCCCCTACAAAAAAAAAAAAAAAACCAAAAAAAAACCTAATTCATTTTCTGTGTTTATTTCTTTCAGGTTCTTATTCTGTGACTGAGGAAAAGCAAACTCTGAAGTTAAAGCTTCTACTGCTGCTACTACTACTGCAACCTGTTACCATGAGTCAGGTCCTCATAGCCTAACAAAGCAATCGGAAATTATTAGAGGCCATTAAAAATAAACAGTGGGTAGAAGCTAAGAAAGCAAAGACCATAATCACCAAAACTCACATACATTTTCTCCCAGGCACAAAACTAGGGTGATAAACTTCCTAGCTTCCCTCACCTTTATAGTAAATGTCACTCTCATCAAAGGCTATACCCTTTCAGGGCAACAAAGCAAAAGATATTTTATCTTACTGACAAAAGATGAATGACATTTTATATGCTAAAATTTTAGAAATCAAACAGCAAATAATAATGATGAAACCAAACATAACCTCTTTGTTGAAGAGTACCATACTATAATCATTAAATCAAATATTTAAGGAATGATCATTTTACAATTATGTTGAAAAATCCATCCCTACCTTCACTGTGGCAAGTATTTCGTTACCTATATTCATCAAGTAAAAATCCTTTCTTAAAAAATAATTTATTTTACATCCTGGCTGAAGTTGCCCCTCCCCTCCTCTCCTCCCAGTCCCTTCCCCCTCATCCCCCCCTTCTGCTCTGACCCCTGAATCCACTCCTCATTTTCTGTTTAGGAAAGGACGGGTCTCCCACAACAAAACAAAAACAGCTGTATTTGTATCAACAAGACAATAGTATGTAAAAATCTTTACTATGATCACTACATATTCTTCAAGGTACCTACTCAACAGTAATAACAATATAAAATTCAAGTCATCATTGATGGAATGGCTTCCAGAAGATGAACTATGAAGCACTAAACATTATACACTACAAACCTGATCTGTGGCCTGCTCCAAGCGTTATCAACACTTGTTTGTTTAATGATCTTGAATTCTTTCCTTAAAAAAAAATAATTTGTCCTTATATGTATTTATGAGAAGTAAGGGGTTGGCAGACATGTGGTGCTGAGAGGGTAACCTGAAGGAGTTGGTTTACTCCTTCCACAGTGTGGTCCCAGACATCAAACTCAAGACATGAGGCCTGGCAGCAGGTACCATGTACCTGGATGAGCCAGTATGCCAATCCAAGCACTAATTCTTCAGTTTATTAAGGATAAGTAAGTATGAAAGCACTAACATGGAGCTTATTTCTCATTAATTCAATGAAAATATTATGGTATCTTCTTTGACCATTCAAGTATATTTAATTTCTCTAAAGTGTTAGCAAAAACATAGAAAATATGTATGATGAATGAACAGTCTGTTAGGAGATAACATGTTTGACCTACAGTGTTCTGTTTGAAATGTTTAATTGACAACTCTCTTCTCCCTCCCCTACGCGTGTGTGTGTGTGTGTGTGTGTGTGTGTGTGTAAAAAGCACTTCAATCAGAAATAAAAAGTTATAGTCTGGGTATCAATGAACAAAGTAAGTGAAGAAACCATTTTAAGACTCACTTGTACATTCTAATATATATGTTCCTGATACTGTTTGTTTGAGACAGGATGTCACATCATGTAACACAGACTAGCATGGAATTCAAGATGCTCCTTCCTTAGCTTTCTAAGTACCTAGACAACGCCACAAGACTCATCTCAAAAAAATCTTAAAACGTAGTATTTTATACTCTAAAAAGTACAAAACTGTTTCATGTAAGAACAAAGCTGTCATACAATAACTGATTAGATCTACACATCTAATTAGAACGAACAAATACAATTATCAAAATGAGAGCAGCAATATGATTAAGCATTTATAACTCCTAATTAAAAATATTAAAATAATGGAAATAAAAATTGGAGTGATCTGCAAAACAAGAAATTGCAAAATAGAACACATGAGCAAAAAAAAAAAAAGACTAATACATCCACTATGTACTAGATTTGTTCCTACAGACAGCTGCATTTAACCACAATGGCATATTATACTTCATTTACTATTACTCTGTGATGGCCCTCTGGAGCAGAAACATGCAAAATGGAGCCAACACAGATTCCATATTCAGTATATTGATAGTATTCACCTATTTATCCTTACATGAGCAAATTCATGAAAAAGGACTAGCAATATAGTTTGTGTAGCAAAGTTTCTGATATTTCTATAGTTCTATTGTGAAATAATAAACCTGTATGTAACTCAATTTTATTTCAATACCTCTTAAACATATTTCAAATGATAGTGAGTCTAAGCCCTTGGCAATTTTAACTATCTCATCATTAATACTAATTATTTACATTAAGCCAAAAAAAATTGGACATCCATCATGAAAAAGTAGAAAATTTTAAGAAGCTTCAAAATATAGAACCATTTTACAAAGCATGGATTGGTTCCCAAACTAGTATCTCAGATGGTAGTATTTACATTGCATGTCACTAGAAGTCCAAAGACAGTCTCAGATACCTTGCTGAAAATAAACAAACAAGACCTAAGTACCTTGTGAGGATATCAAATGCCTTAGATAGAGAAGGCAGAATATAGAAAGAAAATGTTATCTTCTTTTAAGACTGTCCCTGGAGTTTCAGAGTTCATAACAGGATTTACTATAAATACAATGTAAGTTATAGACTTTGAGACCTAAGTCTATGTATGTTTCATTACATACATACCTTTGTATGTAATGAAACTATTACATACAATGGAAATCATTACAAGTTGAGATTAAATCATTCACATATCAACTTTTACAGTATAATCTGTTTCTGACTAAAAACTATCATATCAATAAAAGGTAACTAATTTAATAATAACTGTCCTTCACCAGACCTTATCAAAAGAGAGGCTTTTACTATACTGTGATATCTTTAGGTCACAAAAAGGCAAAAGAATAAAAGCAATACATTTAAATCTCTGACACAGCTTTTAATTAACTATTTTCAATTGAAAATACAATCTCTTACCTTTAAAATCAGGTTTAGCTCCTTTTCCGTCCTTGTTCAGTTTTACCTCTGAGTTGTTAGGTGTACCTTTTGAGTTCTCAAGGTAAGCTGAGCTTGCTCCTTTCTTGGAAGGATGAGGATCACAGAGTTTTGCATTAATTTTATAAAGCTCAAGGGCTTTAATAGCTGCTGCATTGTTATCCATACGAAGAAAAGTTGGACAGGAAGCACAAAACTCATTCGTGCAGGCCTCATTTCCACAGCCTTCGGTTAATTGGTGGTAGTAGCGTTCTATTAGATGCTTTGCAGCTGCTCGCTTCCTGTACCAGACATTCAAACAAAAGGCAAAGTGATTAGTATTGCTCAAAAACAAAGCCCAACAGATAAGACAAAAGTTAACTAAGCAATAAAGCAATAAACTAAATATTTAGATGGAGAAACTGGAAATCTACTATTACCTCCAAGTGTTAACTGGTGAAATACCTTCTAAGAAACTGTGATAAAATGTCATCTTATAAAAATTATCATTTTAATATAGTATGCTTTTCTTTGGTTTAAAAAAATAAGCTTAATTTGATGTTGTATGATCCTTAAACTGTTGAGTACAACTAAAACCAAAAAGTTGAATCACTGTGCTATGCCAGTTCTCCTTTTCATTACATATGAATAATTAATTCTAATAACTTTCAAATACTTAATTTGCAGAATTTAATACCAAATTTCTATCTAGAGTTTATGAAAGAAATTCTCAATTAATAATCATGAGAGATTTAAAAGTAAATAATCTAAATCTCGTATTATACCAAGGGAAAGAAGCATCACTGCAAATAATCTTAAGCCCAGACTTGTCACTAACCCTCTTCATTAAATCCTTGTCATAGGAAAGATGAAGGTTTTAACTTCCATTAGGGCAAAAGCATATTCATCTTACTTTATAAGCTTTAAGCATGAAGATTAACATTTGATCATCAATTTATCAGGCAAGGTGATCAATAAAAGTTAAACTAATTATGTCATCGACCAAGAAGTTGTTTTACATAATCTATCTCTATAAGTTGATTTTAAAATTCTATCCTATTCTATTTTAAGTAGAATCGCATACTTAGTCCACAGAATTCAAAATGATCCCTTTGGACTTTAATTTACAAGCACAGGAGCTTGTAAAGCTTCCAGTAGGAAGAACCTACCTACTTTCACTCTCAAACCTTCATGCCATTGTTTTGCTAATGGATAGAATAAGTCGACAAGAGCACTAGAGGTGAACAAGCAAATAGGAATCTGATAAGTCTTAGGACAATGACTCTAAGCAACATAGGCAGATGGCACAAAATTGTATTTCAAACACTACCAATCAATTCAGGAGCTTTAATTAGGAATGTTTCTTATACATTTCCCAATCATAGTGTGCAAACAGAATGACCCACAGGCCAAGTCTGATGCACTGAATTTGATCCCTGGATCTCATTTGGTGAAAGGAGAAAACCAATTACCAAAAATTGTCTTCTGATCTCTAAAACTACACCATAGCATATACTCAGCCACATACATCCATACAATATAAATAAATTTAAAAAATGCAAAATGTATCATATGAGCTAGAGATCCTACTTAAGGGAAAAAGTGCCCAATTAATGAAGACATTATTTCCTATATCTAGTGGAAAATCAGCATGCCTAATAACAGTTATCTGCTTCAAAACTGACATAGTTCACCAAATGAAATAATTACCCAGAGCCTTCCTGCTGTATTCCTAAGAAACCCAGTGATCAAATTATAGATGTAGGGAAAACCTGTGCTTCAAAATATAAAATAATAATCTTCCAAATGACACGATTAAGTTAATTCTTTCATGCTTTTCATCCTAGCTATTTTCTGTAAGCGTGTACTAAAATAATAAATATAACTATCAACGAGAAAGATGTTTCAAAACTTCATCAACATGATTTCAAGGGGCCCAAAATTCATTTATGTATCCACAATTTTTAAGTACTAATTTTGAAGTGCAATATACTAAAATACTATTTGTCTTAAAAATATGAGATTTTGTCTAGAAAGAAGTCCAAAAGAGCCATGTGTGTACGTGCATGTAATGTTTCTCTATGAGATGAATGAAAACTGTCAATTGTGTAAAGAGAAACCAGAACATCTAAGAGTAGTTTCCCAGGGAATCAGCTGTGTAGTTTTAAGGAACTAAGCGTCTAGGCCTCAATTTTAACATCTTGAGTTCTTTAACATGTCTACCACTCAGTATCCAGTAATAAACACATCACATTGCCAGGTGCTCTGATTATCATGTGAAACTTGACCTTGACAATTATTGTCAGTCTACAGACAATAGGAGACAGAACTGAAAAAAGCCAAATCTTGTGATTGAGACCTTATGCCTAGGACCAGAAAAGCAGGCAGCAAGACTTCCACCTTCAGAATCTATTTCCAAGCACTGATGGTGATTTCAGAATGATACGTATTCAGAACACAAAACTGCAGAATCGTGTACTACTGGTTACTGTAGAGGAATTTCCTGAATAAATAATATTAATATATTATATAAGTTAACACATCTGAAATAATGAAATTATTATGTAATTAATGGAATATTATACTTTATTAAAAACAAAAATATTACCTGTTATATCACTGGGCCCTATTGTAAATATTGTAAATATCATTACCATTATCATTGCCATTGCAATTGCTATAATTACTATCATTTGCACAAGTATATGACTTGATCAAGAGTTACTACTCCACTAAAGCTCAGAAGAATGACACAGGAGGTCACACATTTGATAAAGGGTTAAGTTCAAGGCTTGACTCAAATTTTGAACTTTTAGTATTTCTAAAGGGAAACTTCAGAGTTACTGCTTGAAATTGACCTGCTTCTCTGCACCCAGCTACAAATAGCAGCTTCACTAATAAAATAATAAAAATTAAATTAAAAGGTCATGTTAGAACGTCCAAGATACCAACAGCATCAACCATATTAAGCACTATTCTTCTCTCCCCTCAAATTACCTGAATGCCAAATTCAGCACACGTACAGACATATAGATTCATTCAGGATGTATATGTAAACAGCCACTACACTGGGAAACATGATTTCAATAAACTTCCCGTACAATGTTAATCCATATACAGCAGGAGTCATTACAGTACAGCTTTCTGCCCAGTCTAGACATTTACCTCTTTCACAGTTCAAGTTTAAAATAGTTTAAATTTTGGCAAGGGGAGGAGTTCGAGACAGTGTTTCTCTATCTAACAGAGCCCTGGCTGTCCTGGAACTCACTCTAGGGTCCAGGCTGACCTCAAACCATACACTGACCTCTGCCTCCTGCCTTAGATTATTTTACAATCTTAAATCAATAAAAAAAAAACCCAAACAGTATTTTATTTACACTTGTGAAATTTGCATGAAATTTAAATTTCTATTTTCATATTTTCGAATACAGTAAATTTCAAGTATTTACTTATTTTCTGTATGGCCTCTCGGAATTCGCAGTGCACCCCAGTGAAACTTTCATATAGTCATCTGGCCTCCTCACTTTCTCTTTTCCCTCAGCAGACGAATGAATAAAGTTTCTTTCTCCATATTACAAAAAAAGGAGGGGGAAAAAGGCCTGGACACAGGAAAGAAGTGAGAAGGAAGAGGTCAGGAAATGAAGTGAAGCCTTTCCTATATCATTCATGGACAAAACTCCGCAAGAGAAGCCACCAGTTACTTTTTTTAGCGTCTTCATATTCCACTAACCTTTGTAAGTATATTAATTCCGTAGATAAAAATATACCATTATTATTTAGCCCATAATAAGGCTCAAGTGAATCATACCAGTGTGAATGCTATTTAAAATAAACAATACTTGTCACCTGTTTATAACTTTCTCAACAGCAACTAGCCATGCTTTCCACAAATGACAGTAAGAGAAAAAAATCATTTCCAATATTCTCAGGAGCACTAACAACACTATTTGCTGGTTCCAGCTAATCTCTTTAACAACTGGACACTAAGCAAAAGAAAATTAAATTACAGTAAAACTGATAAAATAATCATAACTGTCCACAGTAATAAAACTTACCAACAATGAGATTATATACTAGAAGAATAAAGAATTCCCACATTAGTAGCTAAGCATGGGAGTCAAAAACACTGAACAGTCGTCATGAGAGCAAGAGACAAAAGCTAAAAAATAAAAACGACTAACAAGAATGTGAGTTAAGTAACCCCCCTCCCCGCCAATCCCCCTGACAGGGTTTCTCTGTAGCTTTGGATCCTATCCGGGAACTTGCTTTGAACACCAGGTTGGCCTTGAACTCACAGAGATCCACCTGTCTCTGCCTTCCAGCACTGGAATTCAGGTATACACCAGCACCACCCAGTCAGCAAATAACTTTTATTAAAGATAAGCAGAATAAAAATATGAAGATTTGAAGAGACAGGGTTAAAAAAAAAAAGGCCCAAGACTCAACCTGTGCATAAACAAACTACTTAGCACACCTCAGTGTCTTTCATAGGTGGCTGTCCTTTACTCTTAGGATGTGCCTACATAAAATCTCTACAAGGTGTGATGACTTATGTTTATAATAGTAGCCACATTAGACTAAGGTAAGACTGACTGGGTCATCTCTCCAACCCACCATTTAGATTCATTTTAAAAGACCAGTGTGTTCTCTTATTATTCTACTTATTTAAAGCTGTATGCTTCCTTTATTTATTTACCATTTGCTCCTTTCTGCAGCTCTTATTAACATTCTACTTTTTCTTTTCATTTAAGATTGCTACCCACTTTCCTGCATCATTCTTTTTCTTTATTCACTTACTATTTCTAATTTGACCTTAAATAATTTTAAATTTTACATTATTCTTATCATTTTTAATGGTCATTGGTGCTATAAATGCTGGCATCAATCAATTTAGTTTACTTCTGTATCTTGTTTGGTTTTATTATTCATGTTCCATTTCTGGCTACGGTGAGGGATGAATACCCTACGTATTCCTGGCGGAAATACAAACTGGCACAGCTAGTAGGAAAATTTAATACAGAGGGTCCAAAATTTAGAAATAAAAAAAATCTATCCCATAATCCAGGCATACTACTTCCAATTTAAATATCTAAAGTAATCTATCCCATAGATCAAAAAGATATTTAACATGTATTTTTTCCTGATGAAAGAAAACAAGTGTAACTGGGCAAAAACAAGAGCAAAATCACAACCCAAAATTAAAAACAACATAAGAAAAGAAAAGCAAATCCCTTAATAATGGTCCTGAAGAAAATAATCTGGGAAAAATTCCAGACAAAGAATTATTAACTATTAATAATTA